ATATATGTAAGAAAATTTCAAMGGTATGTAAAAATTTTGGCAATCGTAGGGACTATGGGCGATTTCATCACTCTAGTGGATCCGGTACTTCCACTAGGGGAGGTCVGAGTGGGAGTCAGTCGCATATCCCCGACACTMKYGGTTTGGATCCCMCACACCCGTCTCCTCCTATGGGTACAKCGCCCTCAGCTCCCACGGCCATGAGCATTGAGGAGTTTGTTTCGCAACCSGGACGSGATAGGTTGCCTCGCCTAGATCMTGACTTGGCACCTAACACGACTTGGTAAGTTTTATTTAAAAATGTATTTGATTATATTAACTTAATAAAATATTTAACTATCTATTGTTTAGGTTTCAATATTCGGGAAACGGGATTACGAGTTCTATCAACGCAATGATCAATAGCTTGATAACTAAACCGTATCCCACATACAGTTCGATGCCGGTGGCAGATCAGGAGACCTGGTTTCGGCAATTTGCGGTATGATTTTTTTTTCTAAATTAAGAATGTAGATTTTATTTTCCATTCAAATTGTCAATACTAATTTGGGTACGGTTTTTTTTTCAGCAAGAATTTACTTGGGACCCACAGTTGACTGCCATGGTCCGACGGCAGTTCAACAAAAAGGTCGTTCGAAAGTACTCGTGGAAGATGAACGAGTGGAAGGACATGTGGTTCAAAGAAGGAAAGGTGCCTCGGGTTATGCAAATTAACCCAACATTATGGGCTGTACTACTTGCCCATTGGGAACGGGAAGACACTCAAGCGAACTCCGGAAAGAACTCGACTAAYCGGAAGAGCGAGCGGAAGGGGAAGGGACCGGCGACCCATAACCTCGGAGCAACGAGCAAAGCGTCACGTGCTGAAAAATTGGTAATTTTCTAAATTTTTCGAAAATTTTTAATAACCCCTATCATATTTCCTTCTTTATCTATGCCAACAGTTTGAGAAGATCGGTGTGCTTCCGTCACATCTTGATTTGATGAGAGATGCGCACACCAACAGACAGACTGGTGAAATTCAAGATGCACTTGCTCGTGAAATCGTGGAAAACGTGGAGAGGCTCGGTGAGCAGTACCTCCAATCCCAACCGATCGTCGAAGGAACTCCGCCGGCCAACGAAGTTCCTTACGAGAAGATCAACGAGTTCACCTATGAGGTTGGTAACACTGTCAAATTTAAACAAATTTAAAATAAATTTTAATACTAATAAGAAAAAACATTGATTGATTTATTTTTTATCGTAGGTTACGCCTAAGAACAAAGRTCGTGTGTTTGGYCTCCCGGAAGACAGTTCCTCCACATCCGTKAATTCATACCGCTTTCACGCAGATAGTAGGTTGAGGGCACAGAACGTYGAGCTTCTCGAGCGCATGAGCGTGATGGAGGCACAACGCGCAGAAGATGCAGAACGCATTCGGGCAATGGAAGAACAGATGACCGCCATGCGGGCAATGGACGAACAGATGAACGCCATGCGGGCAATGGAAGAAAGGATGAACGAGTTCTTCCGTAACCATTCCCAGTAGACTTTACGTT